TGTTTAAAAAGGATGAAAATTTTTCACATTTTAAAACTTTCCAACAACAATTTTTTAATTTTATCATCAACAATTACAATTACAATTATTCATAAGATCCATAAAGAAGTATGTTTATTGATACATTATGATAGTGCTCCATTCATTCATTTCAATCCAATCAATATCAATGTTTTTGTTAATTTGAATTTAATATGACGATAAAAACGCTGTGCACCAGTCTGACCCTGAAACAAGTACTCTCAGGAAATGAAGCATTGAGTATACCCAAATTTCTGATCTTTATTCAAATTAATTAAATAATTGTTTGATTTATGGAATTGAATATATATGAAATGTGCACACTATTCAATTTAATCTAGGTTTTAGATTTAAAATATTAACAAAATTTATTAGAATTTGAATTGTTTATATAAAACATTTTAATTTATGATTTTTATGAAATAACTTTGATACAATTGTAGATTTACTCTAAACGTACGTTAAATTATAATTATAATTACGCGTTTGTGGCTTTGTCTATTTGTACTTTACAAGTTTACGTTGATGTATTGTGAACAGTTGAACCTTCGACATATTTAAAGTTGCCCGATAATATAGATCAACCAAACTTATCTGTACTTTCAGGTAAAATATTCAATTGCGGACTTCTCAATCATGATTTATGCTAGATTAAATTTCTACACCCAAATATCTTTTACTGATACAAGTTTATTGGTCAAGACTCAATGGATATACGCGCTATAAAAATTTTTCATAGTAATCCCCCTTAAAAATAAATTTCTCGAGGAAAATATTTCAATTTGACAATCAAAGATTAACAAGATTAAATCTCAACAGCCTTCAGGAACTTTATGTAAATCAAAAAAGTCGTTTCTGGAGAATTAATCAATAAAACCAAGAGAAATACTATACATAGCCTTTATATCATGGTTATTCCACCAATTGAACACATTTCAAATGTAAGATCAAATCACTTTTACACCAAATTACATTGGAAATTAGTTTTGAAGTAACGTGTTCAATGTTCAAGTTACAAAAGATAACAAAAAATTGATCTATTAATGGCTGTATTACTTGTTCATAGCCATAGTTAATTGTTCATGATGGTTTGTTGCTGGTTGCTGGTTATTCCATTCATGTTCAAGGCCGATAATCGATACATACAAAACTTTTGCGGAATAAAATTCAAACGCGTAACCTTTTATGTACTATTAACTGGTAACTGGTAACCAAACAACGGAAACAACAGCCTAGTTGATTAAGCAGTAGAAGTTGAAAGTTTTGGAAAAGTTTTGGAAATTGGAAACTTTTAAGGTACATGAATTATAATGATCAACAATCAAATTGGAATCTTGTGTTCAAATCTTTTCCGTTAAATGTTTGACAAATAACGTGTATACCAAGTACTCAAGTACTTGTAGTTCTCCTTTGGGTTATCCATTTGTATGGAAAGGGAAGTCTTGAATCCTAAATTGGTTTATAACTTTATACCATTATTACGCGTTTGACACTACAATTACTTATATATGATCAATCATCAATACCAACTGGAAACAAAGACAATGGTGAGCTTCATAACTTCATGTAACACCGTTGAGAGCTTATACGATCGAAGGTTTGGTAACTTACAAGTGAAGAGCTTCATCAAATTTCATACTTTAACATTCCTTATGAATTTGATGATTTCTTTCAACATTCCAAATTCCATGATTGTAGTAGTTTATGGAAATTACCATATTGAGTTGTTTTAAAGATCTACATTTACTTAACTTGAACTAAACTTGAAATGCCAATTGGCTCACCTTAAATCCCCATTGGTAAGTTGTAGCTTCTGCCTAGCTTCTGCCTAGCCTCCTTCTAGCACACTAGCGCTCTCTTTGAAGGCTTCTCCTTAGCTTAGAGTACCCCTCAGCCTAGAGTTCAGTGCAAGTTGTGTTTAAGCTGATATACTTGAACCAGAATTAATTGACATATCATGGGTACTTGATCAAACATCAATTGAATCAAGAAACTGATATAATTTGAGGTCTATATTCAAGCTTGAAATCAATAATCTGAAGGATATAGTGGACCTTCTTTATCTTATAGCGCGCTGTGAATTGTTTCTATTAAGCTGATCTTAATGATCATTAAACTAGACTTGAACTACTCAGAGAAGTACAACATGTTTTTATGGTCGCCTGTCGCCTGTCACTAATAAACTTTTAATAATTGACGCGTTCACCAGTTGATTGGAGTTGTACTGTTGTACTTGTCTTAGACATGATCTTAATCATAAAGACATAAAGACGACTCCAATTACATTTACCTATTTAAACCGATAATCTTCGTTAACTATTGTTCAACCAGTGTAATCGTTAATCATAATTGAAATGGTTTTGGTATAGAATTGAACATGTATCACTGCTTATTTAGCGTTACATTATCACTTGTCACTTGCAATCACACTTGATACAAATAAACATTTGTGACAGTTTGAAGTTTGAACTGATACTAGTCATAAGTAATTGTACCAATTATTAAACCTTAAGCTTTATATGTAAATACTAATATTCAACTTCCAACTTCCAACACTCCACTTTTTTGATAACAAATACTTTACAAATTCTATGGACTTTTCCCAATCGAGTTCAACTTCACAAATTATAAAGCCTTTAAAATCCTTAAATCGATAAAATCCATAAAGTTTTTCCAATTGATTCGCATTTTTGGTGTTTTTGGTAAATCTTTAAACGAAAAATTTTTCCATCTGTGAGATTTAATGCACCTTTAAAGGCAGGTTCAACTAATTCAAATCGTAACGAACTTGGTGGACGTATAAATTACCAGTCCGCTAATTTGCTATACGTTGACTGCTTTTGAAAGCTTTAGGCTACTATCATGAGTTCACTGTTCAAACTTCAACTCCTTTACCATTTGGTTAACGTACACCAATTGTCCTTACACCTTAGAACTTAGAACGTAATTACTGCAACAGGTATTAAAATTCTGGTTAAGAAGTTGGAACCTTTGTTCAACAGCATGATCTCTTAAAATACTGATAGTAGTACCAATTATATCCTAGGTTGAGCAATGAGTATTAATGTTTCCCGCTTAAAAGTTACAATCACATAGAAATTTCCACCTTTCCAAACTCCCAATTTAAATCTCAACTTCTCAGATTGATCAACACGTAAAAGGCATGTTTTAAACTGTCGTACATAAATAAGCAGAAACTAACAATTACGCACGTTAAAATCTGCCTTACAGGACCCAGGTAAATCTAATGTACTGCAACTTTTCAAAAATGTTATGGAAAAAGCAAGTACCGTATGTAAGGTATCGAAACTTTAACTTTTGAATTTTTACTCCAAATTTTTATTGATAACGTTAAATGTCAATTGGAAATTATATAAATATAAACTATTCCCCATGTCCTTAATCGTTTATTAGTTGACAAGCTTGAAATCCTGTCATTCAATATCAATAAAACTTTTACATTCCTTTAAAATATACAATATCAAATACAATGATGCAACAACAACAAAGACCAAATACAACTGAATTTAGAAGATATCCAAAAAACACTTGGAGATTAACAAAATTACAACAAAGATATGTTCAATTGAAAAATGAAGAAGAATCAAAAGAAGATTTAATTACATATTCAAGAAGTGAACAAGAATTAAGAAAACATTTATTAAATAATTTTAGTTTTATTGCAAATGGTGATTTAAATTTAAATAATTCAAATCAATCAACTGAAACTTTTGAACAAGATAAACATTCATTATCTTCAATCCCATCATTAATTAGTGCAAATACTTCAAGTCCAAGTTTATCTTTCCAATCTAATTTTAATGAAGATGATCATCAACCACAATTAGTTTCTGAACATTTAGAAAAATACCAAGGTTAAATTTCCATCTGTTGGTTAGATGTTTATCAATTTAAATATCAATACTAAAGGTTTATCTCGGTGAATTTATCCGTTCCCAATAAAAGGCTTCAAGTACAAATGGCTGCTTTAAGAAAGAATCACATTAACAGGTTTTAATGGAGGGTTATCAGCTCTAGAAGGTTCTCAACTGCTGTTTACCAAGAGTTTAAGAAGCTATTATCAAAAATTTGGTAAAGCTTTTAACAGTTAACTACAAGATCTAGCTTCAAATTAATGAAGAGATCTTATGGACTAGATCTTTGTGAAATATTTAAGGAATTTTTTATATATCAATCAAGGTGTACATAAAGATTGCGATTATTTGAGTATGAACTTTAGGGTTTCATATAGGACTTTACTTATTTATAGATTATATACTATAATTCATTTATTTAAGTATATTTATTTGATCATGTAGAGCTGATTATAATGAATACAATTCAGTGTAATAATATCGTTCAATTGAAGTTTTAATTAATATTATAGATCCAGAATAATGAGATCGTATATTTCACCGAGGCACCACAGTAATATCTTGAACTTATAAAATTGAGTCCTTTACATTCTCTGACCAATTCAGGACTCCAGAGAAAACCTAAGGATTCATATATAAGTTCCATAATAATTTTAGTAATATTACCTCTGCTTTAAAGTGAACCGCTAAAATTTCATATTGAAAGTTACCGAATTTGGTTAAAATGGCGATTAATTTAAATATAACGCGTCGCATTTACGCAAATTCCATCTGAAACAGGAACAAACACGAAAAACGAGGCTCAAAAATTACCGTATCCAGTAATGTGTAGAAATATTTTTCGTGCAACCACACTTAAAAGGGAAATCCACATAGTAAAGCTTTCGCCAATTTTCGTAATTTATAAGCGAAAATTATGATTTATTTTTAATTTTTTTGCATTTTCGATCTGAAATGAAAACAAAAAAAAAAACATCAACAAAAACAAAAAAAAAAACAAAATTTAAAACAAGTTTAAAAAATTAACAAATCATCAACAATTTAAAAGTCAACCGCTGAGTTTTAAAACCCATAAAATCGCATCCAAAAACTTCATTTTAAGGAAGCGCTCTGCTGCTTATATTCATCAACTTTCGTTTTACCCATTTTTGGAAAGTTTGGAAGTGTTCAATTGTCAAAATTTTGGTTTTGGTTTCATTTCCATTCTTCTAGACTCTTTTTTTTTTTTTGGCCTTGATCTCGGTTAGATCACAAATACCCATTCTTGAACGTGTCTTTATAATATCAAAAGAGAATTCATAAATTACCATTTATTTATATCCTAATCATTAGGTTATTTATTCTACATTACATTATACATCATCAACTTTTGTTTGAAATATTTTCAAAGAATTGAATAATAAATCATTCCCCCATAATGTTTAGATCTGGTTCACTGAAAAGATCAAGTCTGAATAGATATGAATCCTTTGATGATGAATCACAACTAGAAAGTCAATCAAATATTGAAAGAAAAAGATCTTTGATTAGACCTGAAAGAAATGATTTAAATAATCCAAATAATCCACATTATTATTATGCCCAATTAGCTACTCAAGAACAAGATCATATAAATGTTAATCCTTCATCAACTGGTATAGATCCAACTAGATTAGATAGATCAAATAGTAAAAAATCACATAGATCAAACTTACCAAGAAACTCTTATCAAAGTGAAAGATCAAATATCGGTGGTGGTGGTAATGGTCCTTCAGTTGATCATAATAACATCCCAGGAATTCAATTAGAAGATTTAGGTGCAGCATCAAGTTCTGAACAAGAATATAAACCTGAAGGAAGAGAAATTTATGGGTTGAATGATGAATATGATAGTCCTTTTACAAATAAAAAACAATCATCTGCCCCTTTATTACCATCTACAAATCATCAACCTAAAACTTTGAAATCTCAAGAAAAACCTCATGGTTTATCATTTTGGCAAGCTTATTGTTATGCTATAACATTTTGGGCTCCTGGATCCTTATTGAAATTATTTGGTATGCCTAAAAAAGATAGACAAATGGCATGGAGAGAAAAAATTGGTCTTGTTACTTGTATCTTATATATTGGTGCTTTTGTTGCATTTTTAACTTTTGGTTTCACTAAAACTGTTTGTAATCATTCAATTCAAAAATTTAGAACAAGTGAAGTTGGTGCAGGTTATTTAGTTATTAATGGTAAAGCATTTGATTTAACTCAATCATCACATCCTGAAGCTGCAGGTATTCCTTCAGGTTCAAATATTTTATATCCACCTATTGATGCTAGTGGTAAAGATGCTTCATTTTTATTTCAAAATGTCAATGGTAATTGTAAAGGTTTAATTACTCCAAAGGATAATTGTACAATTCCAACAGATGATGATGGTAATTTGGCTTGGTATATGCCTTGTAAAATGTTTACACGTGATGAAAAATCAACTCCAAATTTCACAGTATCTGAATACTATGATGGTTATGCTTGTCATACATCATCTGAAGCTAGAGATGCTTATTATAGTTTGAAAAATAGTGCAGATGTTTATTTTGATTGGAAAGATTTAAATGACACAAGAAATTTCGTTGTATATTCTGGTAATGTTTTAGATTTGGATCTTTTAGATTGGATTCAATACACAGATCTTGATTATCCATCATTATTTGATGAATTGAAATCTTCTTCAATGAGGGGTTATGATATTTCAATTTTACTTGCTGATGTTGAAGATAGAAAAGCTGCTAAATGTTTAAATGAACTTATCAAAGTTGGTGTTGTTGATGCTGATACAATTGGTTGTATTGCATCACAAGTTGTTTTATATTCTTCATTAGTTTTCATCTTATCTGTTGTGTTTGCCAAATTTATTTTAGCCTGTTTTTTCAAATGGGTTATTTCTCCAAGACAAGGTGCAGATATTGTTAACAATAATGAAATGAATAAAAGAAATAATGAAATTGAAGATTGGTCAGATAACATCAATGCTCAAGGTCCAATCAAACCAGCTAGAAAACCACAAGATTATCACAAACGTTCAGCTTCTAGAATGAATTTAGTTAGAAATTCAAGATATAATATGGCAAGTGAATTAGATGATTATCAAAATCAACAAAATTATGTTAGATATGATCCAAATATGACTGATGTAAATGGTAACCCAATGACAACAATGGCAATTCAAGCTGCTAATAAAAATAAAAATAAATCAACTTTATCACATTCTAAAAGTGCATCTTTGAATAATTTGAGTATTGCACCATATCAAACAAGAAATACATCTGTATCAAATTTGGCTGCTTTAGATACTATCACTACATTAGATCCAGATATTATTCATCCAAATGTTGTTCCACAACCACCTATTGATTATCAACCATTCAATTATCCATTAGCCCATGTTATGACCCTTGTTACTTGTTATTCTGAAGATGAAGAAGGTTTAAGAACTACATTAGATTCAATTGCAACAAGTGACTATCCTAATTCTCATAGATTAATTGTTATTTTGTGTGATGGTTTAATTAAAGGTTCTGGTAATGATATGACAACCCCTGAAATTGCATTAAATATGATGACAGATTTCTCAGTTGAACCTGAAAATGTTAAACCATATTCTAATGTCGCTGTTGCTCAAGGTGAAAAAAGACATAACATGTCTAAAGTTTATTCAGGTTTCTATAAATATGACTCTTCAACAGTTCCTGTTGAAAAACAACAAAGAGTTCCAATTTTAACAATTGTTAAATGTGGTACACCAAAAGAAGCAACATCAGCTAAACCAGGTAATAGAGGTAAACGTGATTCACAAATTATTTTAATGTCATTTTTACAAAAAATCACTTTTGATGAAAGAATGACTGAATTAGAATATGATATTTTATTGAATATTTGGAGAATAACTGGTCTTTTAGGGGATATGTATGAAATTGTTTTAATGGTTGATGCTGATACTAAAGTCTATCCTGATGCTTTAACTCATATGATTGGTTCAATGGTTAAAGATCCAGAAATTATGGGTTTGTGTGGTGAAACTAAAATTGCCAACAAGCGTCAATCATGGGTTACTGCAATTCAAGTTTTTGAATATTATATCTCACATCATCAAGCAAAAGCTTTCGAATCTGTCTTTGGTGGTGTTACATGTTTACCAGGTTGTTTCTGTATGTACCGTATTAAAGCTCCAAAATCTGCTGATGGTTATTGGGTTCCTATTTTAGCTAATCCAGATATTGTTGAAAGATATTCTGATAATGTTGTTGATACTTTACATAAAAAGAATTTATTATTATTAGGTGAAGATCGTTTCCTTTCAACTTTAATGTTGAAAACATTCCCAAAAAGAAAACAAGTTTTCGTCTCAAAAGCTTGTTGTAAAACTGTTGCTCCTGATAAATTCAAAGTTTTATTGTCACAAAGAAGACGTTGGATTAATTCAACTGTTCATAATTTGATGGAATTGGTTTTAGTTAATGATTTATGTGGTACTTTCTGTTTCTCAATGCAATTTGTTATTGGTATTGAATTGGTTGGTACATTAGTTTTACCTGCTGCTATCTCTTTCACCATTTATGTTATCATCGTTGCTATTGTCTCTAAACCTACACCAGTAATGTCACTTATTCTTTTAGCTTTGATTTTGGGTTTACCGGGGTTGATTATTATTATTACTGCATCACGTACCTCATATTTAATTTGGATGTTTATCTATATTCTTGCTTTGCCAATTTGGAATTTCGTTTTACCAGCATATGCATATTGGAAGTTTGATGATTTCAGTTGGGGTGAAACAAGAACAATTGCTGGTGGTGATAAAGGTCATGAAGATGGTGAAGGTGAATTTGATCATTCTATGATTAAAATGAGAAGATGGAGAGAATTTGAAAGAGAACGTCAAGCTAGTGGAAATAATAGATTGGAAGTTCCAAGAAACGCATGGGATCCGTCACAACATGAAAAGAACGATGCAGATGTATCTGTTGAGATCTTGAACTGAATTCAAATTTGAAATTTTGAATTATACATAGTACATAACTACAAACGTTTGGGTCTTGGATAGACCTTTGAAATATATAGAGAAACAAACACACCAATGCATTCATATTTATTGATTATATGATTGTTTGTAGTAAAAATCGTTGGTTATATTTCTAACTAAAACCTCTGATTCTTTATGCCTAGATAAAGAGGAAACATTCTGTAGGAAATAAGGGAACACATTCCATAATGGCTTAAAATCATCTCTTTCATCATTTTGTATCTTTGATATTAATTGTTGTAACAAAGTGAATGTGATTATCTGTTCTTCTTGTTGGACAGAACTTATAGGCCCATTATTAAGAAGTTTTTGAGATCCTGAATATCTTTTCAATAACAACAACAACCTAGATACCAGATATGGTAAAGAAATTTTAAAGATTTTTTTCAAAGCATTGCTTCCTTCTTCAAAATAATCATTAGAAATTCCGCTAAATTTGAATAAATCTTCAATACAAATTTTTCTGAAACTTTGTTGAGATAGATTCTTAATAGATTCTGTTGAATAATCATTGAAGGGTTTAGATAAAATAAATTCTGAGATTTGGTTTGGTGTATCACATGTCTCAAAAAGGTATTTTTCAATTTCATCCTTTTCATATAAAAATGATGACTGCCATAAGGATCTGATAAACTCTTCAATCACTTCAGGTGCAATTGTACTTTGATCAACGTATGATAAGACTTTGCTTTTATATTTGTTATAAATTTCAATGTTGAATTTTTCATCTCGATTTTTATTTGCAACAGGTGTAGTAGAAATGATTGAGTTTATAATTAATTGCCAAATTTCTTTCTTGGATTCAGCATTATCTTCTTCATTTGAGCTTTCTAAAAGTGGAGCAACTTTTGAACTGAGTTCCAACAGCACAATCGACGCTTTTTTCCATAGTTCATATTTATCAAGGTTTTTGTTGTGATCTTCATCTTCTATTTCACTTTGAACAGCCTCCAAGAGATTCTTGAAAACTTTAGCAAATAATTTGTTGTTGATCATATCTGCGAAATCAGTGATGGAAGATATATATTTGTCTAGTAACTCAATAGATTTTTCACTTATTGCTATAAAGCTAGGAACTTCTTTTCCTTTTCCTTGAAGTTTCTTTAAAATTCTAGTTCTTGTCTGGAATGGTAACAAAGTGATAGATGAAATATGTGATAAAATTAATGATAAAATTTCAAAATCATCAGCAGCATCTATTAATTTTAAATTATCCAAAATAACATCTTGTAATTTTGTTGGTTTTGTTATATCTTTGGTGAAAGATGGCAAGAATGGGAATCTTATTGCACTATTGAAGATTGTAAGTGCTTTTTCAATCTGGTTACTAGATAATCTTTTAGGTTTGTAAATAAAACTGAATGAAGATATGAGCTCTTCCACTGCATCTTGATATTTATCAGCATCTGAAATAACATAAGTGATTGCTTGTGAAGACCAAAAATCAAATAATATTTCAAATATTTCATCTTCAATGTTCTTGAAAGAAGATACAATTTGATGGAATGATTTGTAAACAGAAAAAGTTATGTTTGTGGATTTCAACAATAACAGTCTATTGAAAAATGATATCAAACCTCCCCAATATACAGTACTTGAAACTTCTAAAAAGAATCGACTATATAGCTCAGTCAAACCTTTTAAAACTATAGAAATACTATTTTGATATTCTGGATCTATTTCTGTTTTACCATTTGTATTTTTGTTGAAATTTATTTCTAATAGTTTTTTTATAACAGTATCATAAGTAATATCCCAATCCAAATAAGTACCATGTGATTCAACAATTCTAAAAAATGTTTGTATGGCACCGTTTCTAACTTCTGACCTTGAATCATTAAAAGAATTCACTAAAGAACCTAACAGGTATAACCAAATATCACGAATTTTCGAACTTTCATCTTTATTATCTGAAGGTGATTGATTGGACATCAATTGACGGAAATAGTCACTCATTAACCAATAGTAACTTATAGCAGAGAATGAAACATTCAGATCATATTCTTGATTGATGAAATTTTCTAAAACGTTAATGACACTTTGAAGAATATTTAATGGAACAGTTTGTAAAAAATCATTTAATAATAATTGTAAAATTTCAAAAGCTGATTTTAACAATTGTTTCTGTGATCCTAAATTCTTGGAAACTTCAAAAAATTTAAAAGGACAATTAATTATATGAACAACAGATTCCCATGAATGTGATAAATGAGTTCCAAATCTATCAAGAAGTTCATTTAGTGTTTCTAAAGTATCATGAATCATTTCAGATTCTGAATTTGAAATATTTGCTTCACCTAAAGATGAAAGTAATTTATCAACAACAGTTGCTAATGAATTTAAAAGTTCTGATTCTATATAAATTTCATCAAATTGAGAATCTGAAGAAAAAGCCACTGCTGCTAAATGTTTTGTAGATTGATTAAAAGTTGCATTAGCAACAACTCTTAATTCTGGATCAATTTCAGAAGAAGTTGAAGTATCTGTTAATACCTCTGCAATACTTGACCAATTTTTATTTTGTTTTTCTAATAATCTAGTAGCATTAACTCTTGATATAACTGCTAATTTCTTAATAAAATAATCTCTATTATAAGGGCATAATGTAATTTTATCATCAACTATTGGATCTGTAGTTTCAATTTTATTGAAAACAACAAATCTTGCAATTTTAATAATTTCATCTAAAGTTTCTGTAAATGCTTCATTATCATAATCAACTGTACTTTCAAATAATTTTATAAATAAACTTTCTGTTGATTTTAAGTCGGCAGGTGTTAAGTCTGGTTTTGGTGGTTGTTCTTTAAATGAAAATGTTGATGATGGACCATTTATATAATAATCAAACCATTGGAAAGTTGGTAATAAAAATTTCCAACTTTTTTTCAAAGTAGGACCTAATGCTATAACAAGACTAACAAATGCTCTAAATATTATAATATGTCTTGAATTAAGATATCTTTGATGAATTTTAGTTAATGATGGAGATGATGGAGATGAAACAATGGTATGACTTAAAGTTTCCACTATAGTTTCACTTATAGTTAAAGATTTTGAATTATTATTATTATTATCCTTGGTAAAATTATTACTTATAGTGGCAATTGAAAATAAAGTTAATAATGAATTTTTTTCTGCATTTAATCCCAAGACACCAGAAGCATGACAAAATTTTTGTAAAGCTCTTATTAAAGAATGAAATAATTCATTACCAAGTGATGCATATAAAAATTCAGTACCAATAGATATAATACTTCTTGAATTTGAAGTAACTAATGATTTAATTTGTTGAGCTTCAATATTATGTTCTTGTTGTTCAGAAGTTAATTCATTGAAAAAAACATAAGTATTTGAATCTGTTGTAGAAATTTCAGTGACAAAATTACCAATTCCTTCAGCAAATGAATTTGTACATGATAAAATTAAATAAATTGTATATGGTCTTGGTGCAGGTGGTGCTTCATTTTTATCTAAAAGATCAAGATATTGAATTCTTAAACTACTATTTTGAATAGTTATAGCTTGTTCAGTTGTTGGAACTAGAACAATATCATTAACTTGTAATATTTTAGTGGCCCAAGGTTCTCTAATAATTTCTGAACAAACATCTAAGAAATTATATAAAACTTTTTTCTTGTCATCATGATTATCATATGATGTGAAAATAAATTTAACTAGTTTAAAATCATTAAAGATTTCTTTAAAAATTTCTAATGATAAGATTTTTTTCCAATATGGTAATGTTGATTCTTTTGAAATTGAATGTGTTAATAATGATAACATAACTTCTGTTTCAATTTCTAATATTGATACTTGAGTTTTAATTAATAAAAATATAATTCTTGAAACTCTAACAACTATTGGGAATTCTTTATGATTTGAAAAAGATCTGAGGACTAATGGAGTAATTTTAGTTCTTAATATAAATCCTAATTCAACATGATTTAAAAAGACATTTTGATAATTTGATAAAACATTTTCCAACAGTTCATAACCAAATAATTCTGGTAAAAATTTAAAAGTTAGGAATTTTGGAGGTTGACGTTCAATTAATGCACATAAATCATTCAAAAGTCTATAAGTATCATAAGCTGCAGAACCAATTTTTAAATCTTCATCTTCATCAATTTTCACAGTGAATTCTTTTGCAACTTCATCAGATTTATCTTCATCAACAACTTTATCTAATAATGAAAGAACTAATTGTTGTTGAGTAGCAGCAGATGTATTTACCACCATTGGAGTTTTACCAGGAGATTGTAACATTGAACAAATTAATAATAATTTTGAAACTAATGGACCATTAATAAATTGTCCATAAATTTGAAACATTGAAGGTAATGTTTGTAAAACTTTCAATTGAATATCCACAGCTAAATGAGTAGCTTCTATAAATGCATCCATTAACAGGTCTAGTTTGGATATAGGTATTGCTCTATATGATATAAGTTTATTTAAACATTGTATTGCAATTGTACTAAATTTTGCATTTCTTGTTGAACATGATAAAAGGAATGGAGTTATAAAATCAGGATTTGAAGATAAATTTTTCAAGAAATTTGATTCATTAGTTGTGGATTTATCAAATGATTTCAATGAATTTAAAGATCTTTCAGCAGCCTAACAGAGAGTTAATATATTGTTTTTCCAATTATTTTATTGTTAATTTTGTTTTATACTCACATGCTTAATTTCTGTATTTCGTCTTCGAGATTCAGATACCAAATTTGTCAATTCTGTGGTGAGTTGATTGAGAACTGACATTATCCCAGAGAGCTATTCAATTGAATAAAATAATAATAAAGCTTTGAATCTTTGAAATGTTTTGTTTTCGTTCTTTTTGTTGATGTTTCCATGTTTGACACGATCACATATAAGCGTTGTTGAGATCCGGTTGGGTGGTCGGAACTGATTAAGCATATATAAACTACAAATTTTCATTTTATTTTCATTTTATTTTCATTCGTTAATTCATTAATTCATTATTATTGTTGTTATTATGTGGATGATCTGTTAATTACACAGCATTGTTCCCTCGTAGTAAATGTTCTGATCCTTGGTGGTTTGAAGAAGAAGAAGTCACTGGTGATTCATCCTCACTATCTATAACAACTTCCTTTTTGGAATAGATATAAACCTCTTTACGATTTGCATTGTTTGCCCGTTTTTGACGTTGTTCATTCTCTCTTGCAGTACTACTCACACTCACAGATCTAGGAACAGCTAAACCATATGCAATGACTTGATCAGTGAAATACATTAATGTATTTGTAGTGTTACTGAATGTATCTTTAATTTTACTTGTGAATTTAGTCTTGTTTCCTTGTTCATCATGACCTCTTGGTGTATTTCTATTACTATTGCCATTCCCATTTGTATCATTTTGATTACCATCATCATTTCCATCATTATCATTATTATTATTATCATTATTATCATTATCATTTGTATCATTAATTAAATTATTTTGAACATTCTCATCCAAGATTTCATATTTAGCAATATCTCTATATTCATCTTCATAAACAGGTCTCCCCAATACACCTTCTCTTTGTTGATGTCTCTCCAATGCATGAACTCTATTAATCCATTCCCATGGTATCACTGTAACACTAACATAAATTGTTGTATTGAAAATTTCAGATAATTCAGAAACCCAAATATTTGATATATCAGTTATAAAAAATGCAATTTGTAAATTTATAACTAAAAAAGTTAAAATTGTTAATAATATAATACTTTTTTGGAATATAAAATTTCTTTTCCCCAACATATAAATTATAATTAAACCTGAATACATTGTTGCTAATGCAATTCTTAATAAATAAGTAAATGCTGGTAATATTGAAATATCTGAATCTTCAGTTTGATCAAAATTTGAAAAAGTTGATACACCCCAAATAACTTGAGCACAAATTGATAATAAACCACCCAATATAAAACTAACTCTTTTCTCTTTAACTCTTGAGAAAAGTCTTATTATAATTTGTACTTGAGCAAATTGTGCAATTAATACAAAGATAAAATCAATAATATTGAAAACTTCATCACTTTGAAGATCATCTAATAATTTAGCACCATCACTAACACCCAAGGCATGTTGTCGACTTAGAAATATAATTGCACGAACAATTAAAATCACCAAATTTATCGAGGCTAACAAGCTACCAACTCTTAATAACCATGACGGTTTCTGTGTATGATTTGTAAAGACAATAATAGTGAGGAAAATAGCCATTACCGTTGAAACTGTTAGGGAATAAATGATTGGATAAATACTATATTTAAAATCACCATATGTACTTTCCCTGTATTGATTCCATTGTTGTTCCATTTGCGGTAAAGCATTCACACCAAATCTCTTGAAAGATGATAAAACTGGTCCTTCGTTATAACAAAATGGTTTATAATAACTATTTTTCAATACGCTCAAATGCTTTTCAGGTCTGTTAACCATCACAAATCCTTCGTCTAAATTGATTCCGTCACAAATGGAATAACGACGTCTTTTCGGAGCGTAACGCCAGATGACATTCGTTCCAAAGTTCATGATTTGTCACTGAAATAATATGATCAAAGTAATAAATCAAAATGCTTTTTTTTGTTTTGTTTTGATGAATTTCTTTGTTATTTAAAACTCATTTCACTTTTTTTTTTTGATTTTTTTTTACATATTCAGGAAAAGCACATTTTGGATTTTGATTTCATACTTGAAACAGAATTGATTTCAATTATCTTCAAGAGATTCAAGTGGGAAACAAGACTCAAAGGAATCCAGCCAGGATCTAATCAAACCATGTCTGCTCACCAGGGGAAGCCTTCCTTCGAATTGCAGCACAGATCACCTTCGATGCCCAATATCAATAGTCAATATCTCAGGAATGGAGAGACACAAATACCAGGAAGAAATTTTAATAGAAGTAAATTAGACCAGGTAACAACTTTAGATCCAAATAATGGTGAAGATTTCGAGTTTGGTAATAAATCTATGGATAATGATGATAATGATGATGGTGAAGAAGAAGAAGAAGAACAGACAGACCAAGAACCAGATCAATTATTATCAAATCATTTAACAATCCCTACATCAGTTTCAAATAATCAACTATCCCTTACTTCCTCATTTGATAGATCCAATCTTAGTGTTATTGATCTGTATGGTGATGGTGACAATGGCTCTTTTGTTTCAAGTAATGCTGATGCTATGATCCATAATTCAAATGATGATGAAAGTAATAAACATTCCAATGATAATAATAAAGAACTTGATAATAATAATAACAATAATAATACCACACCAAATACACACAATGATTTAGAAACTATTCAAAGCTCAAGAAAATCAGCTTCTAAAATACGGCTTTCAATTGAAGAAAGTCAAACAAAAATTGCATCAAATCGTGATAGATATGGGTTTAAAAAAAGGACAAATTTTATTAATGAAGATCAATATAATGAATGGTGGATTGATTATTCTAAACATTGTTCAAGACGTAAAAAAAAATGGGAATTATTATTTAAAAAAAATGGTTTAGATTTAAATAATGATAATCCAATAAGATTCCCTCCAAAATCTGAAAAATTAAAAAGATATATAAGAAAAGGTATACCTGCTGAATGGAGAGGTAATGCATGGTGGTATTTTGCAAAAGGTGATGAAAAATTAAATAATAATATTGGGTTATATGATAAATTAGTTGAATCAACTATAAATTTACATAATAAAGATTCAGAAATTATTGAAAGAGATCTTAATAGAACTTTCCCTGATAATATTCATTTTAGACCTGATATAACAGGTGTTGATGCAACTAAAACTCCAGAAACTCCATTAATTCAAGCTCTTAGAAGAGTCCTTGTTGCTTTTGCAACTTATCAACCTTCAATTGGTTATTGTCAATCATTAAATTTTATAGTTGGTTTATTATTAATATTTATGGATGAAGAAAAAGCATTTTGGATGTTAGTTATAATAACATCAAAATATTTACCTGGAGTTCATGAAATAAATTTAGAAGGTGTAAATATTGATCAAGGTGTATTAATGTTGGCTATAAAAGAATATTTACCATCAATTTGGAATCAAATTATAAATTTAAATTTTGATGATTCAATTAATCCTGAAAATTCAGATTTTATTGTTAAATTACCTCCAATTACATTATGTACATCAAGTTGGTTTATGAGTTCATTTATTGGAATTTTACCAATTGAAACTACACTAAGAGTTTGGGATTGTTTTTTCTATGAAGATTCAAGTTTTCTTTTCAAAACTTCATTATCAATTTTTAAATTATTAGAAACAAAATTATCTTCAATTCAAGATGAAATGGAAATTTTCCAAATTATTCAAAATGGACCAAAAGATATATTAGATCCTTCAATTTTATTTGATTTAATTTTTAAAAAAAAATTTGGTTTTAATAATTTAAATCAAGATGATATTAATAGGTGTAGAAAATATGTTGCAGAAAGAAGACAAAAACATAAAGATACAATTGATGATTCAAATTTTAATAGAGGTTTATTAAATGAAACTTTATGGCAACCAGATGTTTATGGTTTTAAAAAAGGTTTACCAGGTGTTCATTGGAATAAAAATTTAACAAGAAAAATGAAAAATATTAGGAAGTCGAAATAAACTAATGGTTTAAATAATAAAATTATATACTAGCATTTAAAATATATTAATAAATTTGCATTTAAAATAATTTATACATTCATGATTTAATTTTTGGTTAATTCCCAACCTTTTTGTAATCTTGATATCACAACAGTAGAGTCTAAACCTTTGGATTTCAATAATTCACCAATATCATTCCATGGTATCTGTATTTCAGGTTTAATTTGATCAATATTTGAAATTTCAGGTTCATCATCATTAATATTATCATTATCATTTGAACCTGAGCTTGGAATTGGTGTTGGTGTATTTGATTTATTAATCATAACTGTGAATGTAATTTCTTCATCTGTACCAAGAATTGAACTTAATAATGAAGAATCTTGAATAACTTTACCTTTAACAAGGAATTTTAATTGAGAAGGATCTAATTCTCTCAATTCATTTTGGGATTTAATTAAATCAGATTTAATTTTAAATATTGTGATATTTGAATTAATTTTAGAATTGATGTTGAATCTTGGAGGTTTTATAGATTTGAAAGTGACATTAACAAGTTTCCCATCTTGTGAACCATTGGAAATTAAATCTCTATCATTTGATTTCTTTGGATTTGGTAAATTTGGTAATTTAATACCCAATGTCTTAATTTCTTTCAAATCTTTCTTATAAGAATCTTCCAAAACAATGTTGGAATCTGAAATTGAAAGTAAAGTTAAATAGTTAGAAGCGAATTCCTTTTCTGAGTGGATGGTTTGTATTTGTGACATTGTGTTGGTTGTTTGTTGTATGTTTGTTGTGAGTTTGTTGATTTGGTTTAAATTTCAAAGAATATTTTGAATTTTTATACTTTAATTTTCTCGAGAAAACAATTATACTCACTAAATTACCTCCAAATTACTATCAACTCATTAAACAACTCATCAAATGTCCATGGATAATAACCATTCTCAAAGTCATTCTCCCAGTGAATCTGCTACAATCAACCATTCAGATTTACAAATTTCGAAAAAGGAATCATTGGAATTACAATATGGGAACAATGTAAATAAAGGTATTAATTCTTATCAAAATAACCAACAAAATGATGAAAATTCAAACAATCAACCTTCAAAACTTCTTTTCTTCAACTATCATGAATATATGGTCAAGAACTACACATCTTTAGAAACAGGAGTATCGGATATTTATGATCAGGCCCTGGTTATTACACATTTCCCAAGTTATACATCATCAGAAGTTGAACAAAAAAGAATTGTAAGAATACCCAGAGTATTTACTGAACAAGGAATCATATATCCACAATTCTCAACTTTACTACCAGGAAGAGAAAGTGCAGCTATAAAATCACAAGATTTAAGTGATGATGAAATTGAAGGATTTATACCAAAAGGGATTTATGATGGTGAATTATTTGGTGTTACTTCTGAAAGTCCATTAAGTAATTATTTTAATGAAGATGAATTTAAATCAATTATGGATAGAATTAATGTTAATTTACAAGATTGTTATACAAGTTCTCATTTATGGAATATTTTAGAATTTATATTTGATATGTTAACTTTTTGGATACTAAGTGATTTTTTCAAATTTCAATCAAAAAGAGTGAGTTTTAATGTGAATTCATAATAATAATGAAAGTTTACTAACACAATGCTTTAGTATTTGGATCAATTTGAATTGTTTATACAAGAATTAAATGAAAAAGAACTATCTGATAAAAGTATAAAGATAATATCACCCAGAAGAACAGCTTATTTATCGGTGAGTATTAATTAATATATTAATTCCAAAAATTTAACACTTGAATTAAAACTAACATGAATGGAAAGATTGATTTTGAAATACCAAAACCTACTTTATGAATATTTAATGAATATTTATGATTTATGAACTATTAATTAAAAGTTGTAGTATATATGGTTAAGCACCTCTGGTCCCGATGAGCTCTCGGGAAAAAAATTTACTTATACTATATCTAATCCTTTTGAATCAAATCTTCAGTACTTATTGAAGAAGACAAATCACAATTAAGTATACAAATGTCTGAAGAATCTCCAGAAATGAATGGTATTTTAGCTATATCAAAACCTCAAGGAATAACTTCCTCTAAATTTTTAGCAGAATTACAAAAAGTTTTCACAGAATCTCCAGTTTTTTCACAACATTTAGCAAATATTAGAGGTAATAAAATGCAAGCAATTGTTCAAACTTCTGGTAAAAGAGCTTCAAAGAGACAAATGCGTAAATATGTTAAAGTTAAAATGGGTCATGGTGGGACTTTAGATCCTTTAGCAACTGGTGTTTTAGTTGTTGGTATTGGGAATGGAACTAAAAAATTACAAAATTATTTACAAGGTACTATAAAAAAATATGAAGCTGAAGCTTTATTTGGTGCTTCAACTACAAGTGGAGATGTTGAAGGTGAAGTTCTTACCAAGAATCAATCATCACATATCACTCAAAAGCAAATTGATGAAATACCTGAAAAATTCATTGGACATTTAAAACAAACACCACCAATTTTTGCAGCTTTAAAAATGGATGGTAAACCTTTATATGAATATGCAAGACAAGGTTTACCTTTACCTAGAGCTATTGAACCAAGAGAAGTACAAATTTATGATTTAGAAGTAATGAATGATACATTAAGTACAAATCATTCATATGATTTTATTAAATCAACAGAATTGAATGAAGGTGAAAATTTAGAAGATGTATTATCTAAAAATCCAACATTAAATGATAATAAACTTTATTTTTCTAAAGAATATACTGAAAAATTAGGTAAAGATAATGAATCATTTGAAATTGATCCACCATTACCAAATGATGGTTCAGATAAAGTTGAAGGTTTTAAAGCACCTTTATTACATTTCACAGCTTCTGTTAGTTCTGGTACTTATATTCGTTCATTAATTAGTGATATTGGAAAATCAGTTCAATCTTCAGCTTATATGGTTAAATTAATAAGGTTAAAACAAGCTGAATGGGAATTAAATAAAAATGTATTTAAATTAGAAGATTTTACAGAAAGACCTCATCAAGTATGGGGGAAAGTTTTGAAAATTGTGTTGGAAAAGGGTGGTGAAGAAGTTCAAGATCTTTCTAAATTATTTGAAAAAGCAGAAATTGAATATAATGAAGAATTAAAGAAAGAAAATGAATTGAAAAATCAAGAAGATAAAGTTGATGAGAATAAAGATTTAAATAATCAAGAAAAAGTTGAAGAAAACTTTGAAAATGATGATAATTCCACTAAAAAAAGAAATATAGATGATGTAGAGCAATGAATGATTAGATTATGTATTGATATATTAGTTTATTAGTAGTTTTATTTGGCATATATCATTTGTACCATATATTAATACTTGTAGCACTTGCTTATATAACCGGATTTAAAATTATTCAACACATTTTCATTTTTGTACCACAAATCACAAATAAAATCACAAATCTATTAAAATTAGAAATAATTATGGCTTCAGAAAGAACAAATGTGTACAATAATGTTAAAGTCAAAATGATCGTAATAACATGATTGAACTAGTCTTTTTTCAATTTAATGGTATGATTTAAAGTGCTGCTTTGATTTAAATTTAAATATCCACAGGGATCCACACTTTTATTAAATAATGGAACCACAGTTTTAAATCATATAAAAAGATGGAAAGTATGGAGGATCAACAATCTATGAATGATTTAAGATGAATCTATAAATCAATAAATCAATACAAGATATGACTCAATCAAATGAAGTTAAGTTACCCAAAAGGGTCAAGAGTATTGCAATCATTGGTGGTGGTGCAAGTGGTGCAATTACTTTAGATTCATTAATTCAAGAAGGTAAATTTGATAAAATTACATTATATGAAAGAAGAGATGTTTTAGGTGGTGTTTGGGTATTAGATCATAATCCAGATCAACTTGATATTCCACCTGGTCAATCACAAGATCAATTAGATCCAAAAGTTGAAATTCCAAATGATTTAAAATTAAATCAAACATTTAAAACTTCAAGATCAAAACAACAAAGATATTTACATACTGCTTCTTATGAGGATTTAAGAACAAATATACCTGAACAATTAATGACTTATAGTGATGAAAAAACTTGGGGTGCTGATCCAAAATTAAAAGTTGAAGAACATTATATTCGTGGGATTGCAATTCAAAATTATATTGAAAGATATATTAATAGACATTCCAAAAATGTTGTCTTAAGAACAACTGTTGAATCAATAAATAAAGATTATAGTATTAAAGATGGTTCATCTCAATTTGAATTAACATTAAGAAAAGAAACTAATTTAAAAGATCAAGATGGTAATTATATTGATGAATGGTCAATTGAAAAATATGATGCTGTTGTTATTGCAACTGGTCATTATCATGTTCCTTATATTCCAAATGTTCCAGGTTTAAATGAAGTTTATCAAAGATTCCCATCTAAAATAAAACATTCTAAAACTTTTAGAGCTTCAAATGATTTTAAAGATCAAACTTTAATAGTTATTGGAAGTCGTGCTTCTGGTGCTGATATTGTGGAAATTGCATCTAATAGTGCAAAATTTATTTATCAATCTAAAAGAAGTGAAGGTCCATTAAGATTTGAAGGTAAACCAAATACACAAGTGAAACCTACAATTACTAAATATGAACTTTTAAATAATAAAGATATAATTGTTCATTTTAAAGATGGTTCAATTGTTAAAAATCCTGATCAAATAATTTATGCTACAGGTTTTAGATTTAGTTATCCATTTTTAAAAGATTTATATCCAAATTTTACAACAGGTTATATTAATCCAGATTTATATTTACATACTTTTAGTATTAAAGATCCATTATTATCAGTTATTGGTGCACCAACAGATGCCATATCATTTAGAGCATTTGAATTTCAAGCTATATTATTATCTAGATTTTTATCAGGTAAAATTCATTTACCATCTTTACAAGAACAAATTGAATGGACACTTGAAAGATTTATTACAAAAGGTGATAATAGAGCATATCATACAATTGATTTAGGAGGAAAATTAGAATATCTTGCATATTTAACAGAATTAGGTGGTGGTGTTGAACCATTAGGTGGAACAGGTAGACCATTTCCAACTTGGACACAATCTGATCTTGAATTACATGCAGCTATTCAAGAACGATTTAAAAAGTTTTTTGGTGAGGGTGAATTAAATGAAGAACAAAAAAAATTATAATATAAAAATTATATTATTCGAGGTTATATATGTATATAGTAATTGATATATAATAATAGTGTATGAATTTATCGTGGTTAATAATATATAAACATGTAGGGATTGGGTGGATGATTAATTAAGGTACGAGATTCAAGGCTATGATGAATATTGATATATAATAATCCTTGAATTGAATTGAAAAATCATATGTTTCTCAAAGCTTCAAGTAGGTAAAAGGAGGAATAATTATGAAGGTTCAATTTATTTGTCTGAGAATTATATGATAAATCTGATAAGACGTGATGTGATTAATTGTACGTAAATGGAAACCAATGACCATGGATGTTCCAAGTTCCAACTTCCAATGTTCCAGTAAATTAAATATGGAGTTTGTACCTGTACCTGTATAGTAATACATAAAATTTATACAGATGTCAGATGTCCATCGATGAACTTTTAGAATCATGTCTAAACTTTAGCATGGCTGGATCGTTGGTTTTTCTTTTGAATTGTTTGTGTTCTTTGATTTACGATTTTCCTTTTGTGGTTCTTTCAACTTGTTTATACATATTTTTCATCGTGACCGCGTTCTGGAGAAGGTCAAAGGTGCATTAAATGCATCAAAGGATCTTGAATTTATAACGGGAATGTTGGTCAATGGTGTTACTTACCTAATACCTACTAGTTAGCTTTTAGGCTTAGCCTTGAATACAATTAACAAAGTTGAGGTCCTTTCAAATTTAACGCGTAATTAAAAGTCAGTGCAAAGTACAAAGTACAAAGTAGTAACAATCGATGAAGGCACCTGTAAGGTTTAAGTGTTTGAACAGATAACACAAACTACTTGTTTTACTCGATAATGCTTGAAAGTTATATGTACTCACTTTACTACTCAACTTGGTTAAATTCAGGAACGTATACAACTTATTAAACCTGACAGTTGATCAACTAATACTACCTGTGTATCGTGATCCATTGATTAAATCAACCACACATTTCTCAGATTTAAACAACAATCCACCATTCACTCAACACACACAATGCAAAGACTCTAGTATCATGACTATCATCTATATCGACTCTAGACTCTGGCCATTAACCATCAACCATTAACCATTAACTATGAGTTTCAAAGTTTCCCCTTTCAGGCTGATAAAAAACGCGTCTCATTTGATAAAGATTTCAAATACCGCGCACTGCATATAAAACGCGACTCCTTAAACCTTCAACTTTCAAACCTTCCTTAATACAACACCGTTTAATCTTTTTTGTTTATGTGAACCTTTCAAGAGTGAAAAAAAATATCAACATGCACAGATATATTAAATTATATATATATATATCCATCATGGTCTCTCACTTTTTTTAACAATTGATATCTGAAAGTATCATCAATAGATTATTATTCAATCAATAGATCAATTAGCTACTACTACAGTCTACTACAACTTATTACATCCATTCGTCACAATATGTCTGATCAACAAGCTCTTCAAATATTAATGACATCTCCAGTCACTCAAGATATATTATCTCATATAGTGAATGTTACTTTAAAAGTTATTCAATGCAAAAAATCAAAATCTATTTATCCTTCACCACCATCAAGTCCAAATCAAAAATCAAAACAATTACCTTCATTAATGACTTTCATCTCTCGTCTTGTTAGATATACAAATGTTTATACTGGTACTCTACTTACAACTTTGGTTTATTTGGAAAGATTAAGAGCTAAATTACCAAAAAATGCTGAAGGTTTACCATGTACTCTTCATAGAATTTTTTTAGCATGTTTAATTTTATCATCAAAATTTCATAATGATAGTTCACCTAAAAATCATCATTGGGCTAAATATACTGATGGTTTATTCAAATCTGAAGATGTTAATTTAATGGAACGTCAATTACTTTCATTATTAGATTGGGATTTATCTGTTACAAATGATGATTTAATTCAAACTTTGAAAAGATTTATTGATCCAATAAAGAATGATTTAAGAAGAACATCAAAAGTTCGTCGTCATATGATTAAACAAAAACAATCACAACAAATTTCAACTTCAACTTCATCATCATCATTATCTTCATCTTCATCTTCATCTTCAATTCAAAATTTAACTTTACAAAAAGATCAACAACATTATAGAAGTATGTCTGCTTCTTCAATTTCATCATTGTCATCTTGTTCATCAATTGATTCTTCACCAGAAAATGAAATGAATTTATCCACAGAAATCAATCATTCTTACATTCCATATCATTCATCTAAAGATTTATCATCATATAATCAACAACCTCAATTATCTAATGAATTGAATGAGTTCAACTATATGATACCGAGTTATCTACATTAAAGAGTGATAGTTATTAATTAACGCTGGCGGGTTTTTATTTTCATTAAATGGTTGGTTATTTTGGTTTAAATTTAAATTATGGGTTATATAAAGGTTTTCATTTCTTTTGGGTTTTAATTTTCTTTTTTTTTTTTGATTTATAGATTTTTTAATTATTATGATAAATTCGTTATATTATACAGCTTGTAAAATAAATTCAATATATATATATATATTATTTTAAATAGTTATTCATATTTTTTCTTAATTGGAGCTGTTCTGATTAAGACCAAAAGTACAATATTTACGACATGATCTGTTAAATTGGTGTATTAATGACGTATATACTAACTATATAGCTGCTTTTCACGTTAAGAGTTCAGTCAGAAAAATTTATAGATTAATTATATGAATTAAAATTGTATATTTATATATAAATTGAAATGTATTCACTCATGATCCATCAAAAATCAAACATATATAAACCTTTACGCCTTTAATATTAAAACAATATAGTTCAATGTAGTCATACACTAACCCCATAGTATATCTATCTCCACAGTTTCTCTGTATAATTGGATTGGAAGTGAAGATTAACTCTTTAATGTAACATCGGAGAAGGTTGATTACTGCTTCGCTTCATACTTGATTGTTGACGTATTTAATTTATTGCAATTACTGACTTTATGATAATCATCATGCAGTAATTCCAATGTATGCTTTAAATCTGGTCAGCAACAATTCGAACCTTCAAATTTATATAATTGAAATTTATGAAGTACATTATAATTTTGGTGATCAATTAAGTAGTAAAACCAAAAGGTATATTATAAGTTTCAATATATCTGGTTCTATAAATATTTAAGCAAGTGTGTTTATAAATGAAGTTTTCCGTTAGATCTTATAATTCTCCTTTCCTTGAGTATTTTATGTATAAAAAAAATATATATCAACACTTGATATCTTGATATATATTAAAAGTGATAGTTTGTTTCCTTTCTAAGT